TTAAGTGTGTTAGCCATTCTTTTTTCATTGCGTTTTCATCGTGCAGAATTTCCCAGCTGTATAATACCACCATTGCATTCGACCATTTCGATCACTCGGTACCCGACGGTCGTGCGCGCAATGCGATTTTCATCACTCGGTACCCGACAGTCGTGGTCGCAATGCCATTTTGCATCACTCGGTACACGACGGTTGGGTATATAATACCTTCGTATAATATATCATTCGACACTATACTATTATTTGCGCTAACAAATGTTAACAAATCTCTATTGTTCAACGTCACTGGCAACTGTCAAGAACAACATTATGTAACAACTAGACGATGACTAGGCCTATTTCAATGTTGTCTCACCGATGGAAAGTAATCTTTCGTGCTTTTCACTCCTCACATGGAACAACCTTACACTTGTATATGCACTACAACAGCGTGGCATGATATATCAATGGATGCAAGATCGATGGCTATGTATGAATGCAAAACTATATATGCTCTATGCTCTATGCAGAGGGCTATGCTATATGCACTCTGCTCTGCTATATATACATGCTCGAACTATTACGTCATCATCAGAAACATCAGACCATCGGGGGTACTAAGATGGATAGGGTAAGTTGAAGCGCACGTCACGATTGCAGGTAGACTGGTACGGACCTTCCCTGTGCCAAGTATGCTTCGCTACACTCAACTTATAGTTAGTGCAGCGTGTGGAACTCTCCACCGCGCAGCAGTCTAAGCTCAATGGCCGACCCTTGTGTGGAAAAATACCTTGAAAATGCCTCGTACAGGGCCTCGTCGCGCCATCTATGGGTAGCCATATGTACGAGAATAATTTCACGGCGTGAAACGGAAGAAATGCAAACTCGCTTTTCTAGAGGAAAACGAAACGCGCCGACCAGCAAACGAGCAATTACGAGCATTTGTATTAAATCTCTACCTACGTGCATAGTGAAAGGCTTGTGGAATCGCCACAACTGCTCAATTGACCGATTATACCGCTTTATCCTATACCCAAAGGGCACTGTCGAAACAGTGTTCTAAACAGGACAGCGAATCCGATAAAATTTGCCGCTCCGTGGCGTTGTTCGCGCTTCGCGCGGATATCAGGCTGCAGATCGTCCAGATCCAGCCACGCCCACCCACACATGCACACATCTATACACACAGTCACACCCACACATGCACACATCTATACACACAGTCACACCCACACATGCACACATCTATACACACAGTCACACCCACACATGCACACATCTATACATACAGTCACACCCACACATGCACACATCTATACACACAGTCACACCCACACATG